TGGTCGGTTGAACTGAGGCAAATTCCCTACAGAGAGGTGCATTATAATAATGTTAGCATTGCATATCAGTTAAATAGGCCTTTTGCCATTTATTGGCTCATATAAATTGCAATTATTTCATAGTAGTGCCAGTTGTGAAAGGGTACATAAACGTTATCTCAGTTGTGTTAGAGTTCAGTTAGTTTACAATATCAGATAGATTGTGTATAAAATTTTCAAATTCAACCAGTTATGTTACTAGGTATTTCTTTGGAGTTTTGGAGGTGGACCAAAGCAAAGAGCTACCCACAATACTAAAAAAAAAAAAAAATTATTCTGAATCACAACGATCTTCTAAAATATAAGAGAATGCATTTTGTAAATACCCTTTCATTTCTCAAATGTTATCACAATCTACATTCAGCTCTGCCTATTTTTTTTTTTTTTTTAAATCTTCACAAATCTTATTCCCAAGGATTAGGCTAACTAAGAATAGCAGCAGTTAAATTTAACAGAGATCACATTGAAAAAATAAATTAAAAATTCTAAAGGATGGCACCAGCAAGAAATGAAAAATGAACTTTTGAGGAATGTATAGTTACTGTGGGCTGTAGATTCACTATGGTATTAAGGAATGTATGGAGCTTGGTTACCTCCCAGAAAACGTTATCTCTTTCCCAACTCATTGTAAAATTTTCAAATTTCAAGCTTTGATTCAGACATTGATGCCCTGATGTACTGGTAAAAGGTTACATGTTTATGCCTTTTCAGAAGATACCAAAAATATCTGAGCCAAGATCTCAACATTTTGCTTCTTTTTTTGTGTATTTTTCTCATTTTTTGTATTTTTTTTTTTTTTTTCATGCATATTTCCACAAAATATTTTTATTACTTTTTCATTTGGGATTAAATTTATAGCATATTTTACAAATACTAAAATGACAGACAGAAAAAAAATTCCCTATTTTGTTTGAGATCAGTTTTCCTATAAGCAGAAAAAAAAAATGAGTTAACAATTACCACTGACTTTTAATTTGGAGTGGAAGCAGATTCTAATCAAATTATTGGCCAAATCTCACAAGTAGTCTTCATAGAATTGACTTTTCAACCTGACTTTACTGAAATACTCGTTTTAGAAGTGAACTATTATGAATTCTAGTTAAAACAAGAAAAAAAAAACATTTTTAAAAGAAGATATATTTGCTGTTGCTCATTAAAAACTATTCCATTATGGCATTGTTTTTATTTATTTTTTTAAATTATTTTTAAAATGTTTCTATCAGTAAAAAGGTAAAAAATGTCAATGATCAAGAAAAACACAGCACAGCCTTCTAAAATTGAACCATCTCTGTGTAAAACTGGGACAGGTTGGAAGGACAAATATTAGAAGATAAATAAAAGCACTTCATGTCACAAACAAGACTCTCCCATACACTTTCTTTTAAAAAACTTATGTGCACTTTGGTAAAGGCAGATTTTAGAAACAAATGAACGTATTAACATTATAAAATTGAGTTATTTATGCAGTGGCTGGGAAGTTTGAGGTTTCATTCAAGCTCTGAATTTTAATGGTACACTCAAAAGAATGAACACATATTTTCTTTCAATTTAACTTTTAAATAATTTATGTTCCTGGAGAGAAAAATGAAGTCAAAAAAATGAACACTAGTATACCATAAATTTTTAGACTTTTAAAATTTCATAGACAAGTATAAGTTAAATAATCTTCGTCCACAGTCAAAACAACCTCACAACCATATTCCTCAGTTTGGTTTTAAAATGGCTGACATTTTATATATAATAAAACCCTATGTAGACTAATATTTTGAGGGATCAATAAGTGGTACAAAGTTAAGTTTTAGAGATTTTTATGTTAATTAAATATGTATACAAAAAACATAACTGAATTTAAGAATTTCATCTAATTAAAATTTCCCTCAACTTTATTCTTAGCATTAAAATGAATGACGATATCTAGTCATATTCAAAATGAGTTAGCAAACCAACATGACTTAGGTTCAAAACAATTCCATGAGAAGCCAACCAGTGGTTGAGAAACATGAAAGCATATGCACACAAAAGATAAAACTATTTTGTTATATGAAAGAATATAATCCTGAGAAGCTGCATCTTAGCTGCCCTAGTTTCCTATTGATTCATAAAATACATTGCCTATTGCATTGGAATTGCAAAGTCATTTACATTTCTAAATTTAGAAATAATGTATCAAATTTTAAGTAGACACCATTGTGTATACCAATCTAAAAAAAAAAAATAACAACATGTATGTATCGGTCCATTTCTTTCAATTATGATACAAAATACTCCCAGAAGAAGTAAGTGAAAAAAGCAACAGGAAGCAAAGAAATATATACAACTAAAACAATTTTTTAAATGAACAAGAAAGCTATTATTTGCTATGTTGCCAATTTTTATTCGACTCAATTGGAATTAAAAAGCAGAAATCAAAAAGAGAGATATTTGGCATTTAGCTTTTCTCATCAAGTTGTTAAACATTGTTATAAATAATAATAAAAGCAAGTATATTACTCTCATGAAATGGGAAGGAGAGAGAGAAAAATTATTCTCTCTGTAAAAACGTGACCTCTATTCAAAAAAAAAAAAAAAAAATTATAAAAATATAAAATATTAACATTCCTCTTTGTCAAGGGAAATAAAAAGCAAATTGAATCTTAAAATTAGCAAATGTGTAAGATAATGATTGATAGACCAAATGTCGATTTGGTTTGAAATCTACTTTATAAATAAACAAGTGGTGAAAAAGTCAGGAAATGAACTCAAATATGCCAAATTAGTACTTAGCACCACACACCTTCAAACCTTAGGATTTTAAGCCTTGGTATTTATTAATTCAGTCCAGTGGTACATCCAATAATTTAGCAACAATGTTAGCTATTTTTCATGAGGTATGTCTAATAAGAGCATGTTTATTTTTTGTTTCGTTTTTATTTTTTTAAAACTGGACAGTACCCAATAAAAATGCATAGCTGTGAATTTGAAAACTCATTTTTCCTGGGTAAGTTATCTAGCAAAGAGAAAGAAATTTTTCTACTAGGTAAAAAGTATTCAAAATTAACTGTACACTTTTCAATCCAATTCTTTAACCACTGGTACAGATTTAATACAAAAGGCTTTTGAGCTATTTAACCACAAGCTTAAGAAAAGCATGAAAATGCTAATTCCCTGGATAAAGTCAGAAACTATACCACAAGGATAAAACTGACATAATGCATATAAACAAAACATACACACACACAGACCAGCCAAGCATTCAAAGCTCTGAATACACAATTGGAATGTTTACAAATTAAAATTTCTTTGTTTTGTGAATTTACAGAACTCTGTACATTTACTTAGATTCATGAAGATGAGGTTTATTTAAAAACGCCACCTCTAGCAATCTGATTATAAAGTAGTACTAACTTGGTTAATGGGAATAAATTGCCAATAAATAGAAAACACAAAGACAAAAAGAAGTGCCCAATAAACAGTTATTAACTGTAGTGCAGACATATTTATGGACTTTTATTAAAAAGTTGCCTTGTAAATTTCCACAAACATAAGAATTACAAAATGACTTGTTAAAAAACCCTACAGACCTCAAGATATAACATCCTATCCAATCATAGAATTCTGACACATAAAACTAGATTAGACAATAATAAAAGAAAATCTAGATATTGTTAAAAATAAAAACTGTTCCAAGTTTGTGCTATAAAAGTGAGAGTGGAAAAATATTTACACTAATGAGTTTTGTGAAAGACTTGAAAAGTCAAATTTGAGCCAACATCTTTAACAGGTGAACTACAACACCTGCCACACAGCCAATGAGTACATTTACTGGTATTTAAGTTACTCTCAGGAACACAAGTTAGAAAAACTTACCAAATTTTAGATACTTGTATTTAAGTTCAAACACCAGCAAGATAATATTCTAGCAATCATGTCTTTGCCAGATGAGCCAAAATATACCCTTAAAAGTGATAGCCTGAAAATATCTATTATCACCATAATAAGAATTATCTATGTTCCATTTTCTCTAAACTAACTCAACATTTCTTTTAAAATCTGATATGTTCAATGAATCAACTCTTTAATAAAGTTATTCAAGTATATAAAAAAAAAAAAAAAAAAAAACTTCTATAGTAAAAAAAATACAAATAATACTTTAACAAATATTGATACTTAAATTTGAATTCTTAGTTCTGGTCATTGTCAAATCTGTATTATGCAGAATATAAAAGTGTAAACCATAACTATAGAGTTGTACCTTAAAATGAAAAACATACAAGAGATTTTTTTCAAAATGTATTTCAAGTAGACAGAGAAGTCCATTACTGTAAAGTATTTAAACAGTACTTAATCACTGAACCACAGATATGTTTTTTAAACAGAAAGATGGGGATCTGTGAAGCAACTATACATTGAAAATTATTTTTTAATAATATTTTAGATAAAAAACTCAAATCTGCCTTGTGTGCTAATTTTTGTTTTAAACATTTTACATTTGTTTCTCCTAGGGATGAAAGGTTTATAATGTAGACCAGATTTAACAAAATGTAAGGGCTGCTCCCAGTACAGAAATAAAATATGACAGGAAAAAAATTGAAAATAATTTCTCATTTCTAACTGAAAGAACCAATTTGTCAGCCCAATTGCGTTTTTCTTATGTTAAAATAGTATACTTTAAAACAAACCTGCAAACACAAATTTATAAAAGGGAAAAAAAAATCACTTACAAATAGAGAAAAGAGTGTAGGTAATAATGATAAAAATATAAACTATAAAAAAAAAAAAAAAATCACCATTTAAACATAGGACAAAACATATGAAGTAAATATTTAATATGAAAGCCCCATAAAACTTTGTAGTTATGAAAACAGTGCATATGTGAAAGGAGAGACAAAGAGTGTGAGTATGTGTGTATATGTGTGTGTATATTTTCCCTTATTAATGGTGAATGATATTGGGGGTGGGGAAGTAACCTAAGAAACTTAATGTCAGGACTTCTCCTTGACTTTTGTGTCATGATTCGTTTTGCTTGACATTTGGACATCTGCTGAGTTAAAAGTTGATGATGGCACTGTTGTATTCAAGTTGTTTGGAGAACTGGTTGATTTCAGTGACCCTAGAACAATGCTTGATCCCTGGGACAATGCAGCTGATGTAACCTGTTGTTGCATCATTGAATACATCATGTGCTGATCCTGCACAAAAGAGAAATGTATTTTCACTGAAAAAAAAACAACTTTGAGACAAACATTTTGAATGAAAAACTGAAAATACAAAATTGAGATAAAAGTTAGCCACCATACTCAAAATTAACTATCTTAAGAAACAAATAGTTACGAATACAAAATAATCCATTGCAGGTCTTTGAATGGAGTTCCAACATAAAACTGCATGCTACTCCCACACCTGATGAAATAGTAGAAAATAATAATAATAATAACAATTCAAGCATTATGATTAAATGTTTATCAAATGAGTTTTTCCAAATCATGATACTGACCCTCAATCTGTTGACCATGAAATATAATGTAGTTCATAACAATTACACTTACAAGCTACTATATTAAACAAACCACTATTCTATTTGTAATCAATAACTGTACATTTCATTTCCAAAGAGTATCATCAAACTGAAAAACTAATTTTGTCATGATTTAGGAATCCTGTACTAATCTCTATCTAACACACACACATTTATATATATATATATATATATATATATATATATATATATATATATATATATATATAATTCCAAGTTCAATTCTGTGGACAAGACAGATTGCTATAAAATGACAATTGGATAAAATCTTAGATTTTGCCAATGCGTTTCATCTTCCGACTTTTTCAAGGCAAAAATGAAATCGAAATATTTTTGTTGTTATAGTTACATTAAAAAATCCAAATTTAAAAAGATAGACGCTTCTGTCTAAGCCATTTTTTCTGGTTAATGTAAATTACCTTTATAGTAAGGGACCCCCCCCACCATGTCAACAATATAGTTAAATTCCCAGATGAATTCTGTGGACAAGACAGATTGGTATTTTTTATAAAAAAAATGAAGTGATGTTTCATGAATTGCAACTTTAAATAAAATCATTTATTACCATCATTGTTAACTACCTGATGAGACATTGTTTATTAAACATCAAAACAAAATGTACAATTTTGTAGTAGTAACTTGCATGTCCTAATGTAACAGTGTATAATAAATACACACACACACACACAATAAAATACTTTGATTAAAAATCCAAAATCATTTGGAAAATAGCTATTTTGATCCACAGATTTTCTTGCGGACCTTATCATTTCCCATGTTAGGAAATGAGATAAGAGCTTAAAATTTAAACATTTAAAGAATAAAAGAAGATGGGGAAGATAGAAATGGAGAAAGAAAAAGAAAACAGAAAAAATAAAGAGAGAATAAATGTCTAGACATAAGTTTATATAGATTTCTAATATTATAGTGAGAATTTAGACATTAAGGAAATAAAGGATGAGGAAGAGAGAAAAAATATAAAAAAGAAAATATAAAAAGAAAATATAAAAAGTAAAAGAAAAGGAAAGGAAAAAAGCCAAAGACGAGGGAGAATAAGGAGGAAATCACAGATTTAAAAGGTTATAGACGTAGGAGTGTCTGGTTCAATTAGACAGTTAACATGACCATGACCTATATTTTAAAATATTAACCACTCAACTCAGTTTTAAAAAAGAGTCACAAAATTAAAGAAAAAAAAAACAACACAAATTTATGCTAGTAAAAAAATCATCAATAGACAAGTTATAAATATTTTAGATCCTGTTATAATAAATACACTGAGCACTTTTTGTAGATCAGTTTTAATATTTCTATTATTAGGATTCACTTAGATTATATACCTTCAGATTATTACCTGTGTGTGTGTGTGTGTGTGTGTGTGTGTACACACACACATACACACACACACAATTACAATGAATTAAAGATCAAAAATGGATCATAATAAATAGGAGTTTATCAAACTAACATGTTTCAGTATTATTAAATATTTGTCAGAGACTGAGAAATGGACAAAGACAGAAATTCTGGTAATTTCAGTTTTGTGTTGTTTGATTTTCATTGGTCAATCATGTATCATGTGCATTATAATGATAAATAATTCTATGTAAGTTTCTAAAAATTTTAATTTGTCTATACAGGCATCAGATGATGTATATTTGTAATTGTGTGTGTGTGTGTGTATGTGTCTAGTAGGATAAGTTCTGATGCTTTCACTTTTGTGTTGTTTATCATTGGTCTGTTATATATCATTTCATAACTGAGCATATGTCCAGCAGACACTACGTCTGTTGGTTTTATCGTGTATTGATATGGGAATGTTTTTTATGTACATACTGTCTGTTTTAGATAGACATAAGTAAGACTCTTTAAGAATGGATTCAATAAAGGTTGGTGATGTAATATAATGTTTTTGACATGTGTTTATAGTTGGTAATAATGTTATTATTAAGCTTTCAAAATATTTTATCCTTAAAGAAGTTTTCTTTCTTAATTAGGGTGGCATTAGTAAAATCAAAGTCATGGCCAGCTTTGTTCCTGTGTATTACAAGAGAGTTTGAATCACTGTCCAAACATAAATCTCTTTTGTCTTCGCAGATGCATATTTTTAGACCACATGATGTCTCTCCTATATAAACATTTTTGAATTGTAAAATTTTTTCATTAATACCAACATATGAATTAGTGTTGGATTTATTTTCTTCCTAATTATATCCCCCAGTTGTCTTGTAAGTGGTGAGAAAGGTCCTTGTATTAGAGATATCTTTTAGTTTAGTAAAAATAGTATTTGAGGGTAGGATTATGAATTTTGTGTTATTTTTGTTATATATATATATATATATATATATATATGAAAATTTCTCTGATACAATGACAATATTCTCCACATGTGACATATACTGACATTATTTTCAGTTAACAATATGAAAATAGCATTTCTCTACATTCCAGTTGCTACTAACATTCTGCTTTTCTTTTTATTAGTTACCTTGTTAAATTATATTCATTTCATATTTTGCTTTGATAAAGTCCACACTGGATGAAAACGCGTCGGACAATTAATAGTTTTCCTATTGTCATTTTTTATTCATATATATATTACATATATCACTTAGAACTTTTTGAACACACATATATATATATATATATATATATATATATATATATATATATATATATATATATATATATATATAATAGGAATTTGTTCAAAAGTTTTAAGCCTCACCAGAAGAGCCATAGCTCAACTTCTTATAAAACTAGAAATACTAATTCAGATTTCTGTCTTAATTTCTGTACAGGTGAGGCTGAGACCCATATAAATATGTGACAAATCTAAAAAACAGACAAAACAGAGGCCCAAGTAGTCATAAAGTATCTACTGAGCAGCAGATAGATAAGGCCATAGGCATTAGTCCTAGTTCAGTACATACAGTTTTATATATATATATATATATATATATATATATATATATATATATATATATATGTGTGTGTGGACATTGAAGTTAACACCCAGTTTCTTGCTAAATGCAATAGTCATGGCCTGACAATTGCATTTAGCATGAAACAGACTGCCACCTCTGGGTATTGACTTCAATGTCGACTTTATATTTACATAGACTATCTAATATTGAGCACTTACCTCATGAATATAGCATACTTTAAAATATTTTATCATATATATGTGTGTGTGTGTGTGTGTGTGTGTGTGTGTGTGTGTGGAGAAATGATCTAAATAAAGAGATATGGTCAACCATATAGATGAGCGATTACATACACATACAGGTGCTCAAAATAACTATTTATTGAATCAATGGTGTAGACAAAACAGTGCAGAACGTAGTTAAACAGAGCTATAAAGTATATATTAATAATTACATATACACCTACATTTACAGTACGACTCATAGTTTCATGCCATCCCCATTCATCAGGTACAAAAAGTTATGGACTGTTTAGTACAGTTTTTTTCTTTAATATATATATATATTATGTATATAGGGGAAACTTGCAGAAATAAAAAAAAAACATGTATCTGAACACAAAATACACTTCATACACAATATATCAAATGCATTAATTATACATGCAAATAAATTCAATCAATATTTCTTCCTTTCCTTTCCCAAGCCACAATATATGACCAAAAAATTAGTAAAGAATTAAAAGAAAATGCTTAAATCCATAACTTCATGCTATTCAAATGAATTAAATACTAATTGCCATATATAAAAAAAAAAAAAAAAAAAAAAAAAAATCACCAAGTAACTCTTGTTTCTTAGATACTGAATTATATCAACTATGGTCCATACACATGCATAACTTTCCTGTTAACCCAATGAATATTCATGAGCATAGCTATAGCTAAACATTTTGAAAAACCAATCACATTTTTGTGCTTGTATATGAATACATGCCACAAAATGAAATCATTACATTAGCCCTCATGAAGTCCCTCACAGGGCAAAACATGATGGCTTAGATAAGTATTTCTTTTGCATTTGTATATATAACTTAAGATATATATATATATATATATATATATATGTGTGTGTGTGTGTGTATATATATATATATATATATATATATAAAACTTGACAAAGTCCTACAATTATTTAAGATATTTTTTAGGTTTATATGTTCTTTTTATAGATACAAATATTTAAGTAAATGCTCTGTTTATAAGAAACAGTTTTAACAAAATTTACCGGCCTGAATGTTCGAGAAATTTTCACAGAAAATATGCGTCCTCTGACAGGAATTGAACCTGTATCCTATACGGAAACGACATATAGCTGGACGTGCCTTAACTGATTGGGCCACAGAGGAGTGTTCAGTTAGCAAGTTCGATTCTACTATTTTTAAACACAATTCTCCATGCTTTTCTCTCATTCATTCATATCTACTGAATGTGTATACAAATGTAAACAAATGACGTCATACATTATGGACAAAATCTGACAATTATTTAATATACATACATATATACACACACACACACACATATATAATTATTAATTTAAAAATTATTAACATAAATATGTTATAAAATCACTAATAGCTCCTGGTGTCTTACCGAGTGATGATGTTATGTTATAATTTTTAAATAAATAATTATATTCACTCTACTGTGTATTGAGCACTCTTAAG